GCTGCAGCAGAACTCATAAAACCCATTTTTTTCCTCAGATGCTCTGTCTCGGGGAGTTAGAGCTTTCTTTGTGAGTATCCGTTGCACCTTCCTGCCCAGCTAGGAGGCAGTCTAGTCACTATTTGCCTGTCGAGGCTCCGCCCTGCTGCCATGGGCTCCGCCCTGTTGGAGGAGTCTCTCTGTTATGCCGGGTTGTCTCGGCAATGGCAGGCTGCGTCAGCAATGGGAGTGTACCTCAGTAGGGGTGGTATGCCTTGGTAATAGTGGACGCCCCTCCCCCTCTGAGCTGCACCATCCGGAGCTGCACCGTCCTGGGTTCAGCTGTGCCTGCAGTGAAACTCTTAATCCTGAGCGTTTCGAATCACCATTTTGTTTGTCCCTGTGGGGGTGGGACCCACCGAGCCTGATCACCTGGCTCCCTGCCTCAGAGCCCTCTTTTTTATTTTAAGTTTAATGGTAGACTCTCTCCCAGGTGTTTCAGTTGGCTGCTTATATGGCACTGGGATCTGTGTGATTTCCCGTGCAGCTACCCACTGCGCTGGCTCAAATGTCTCTTCCTGGTAATCTCCTGGTCTGGCTCACTGTCCAAGTCCCACTTAATCAGATGGATATGCTAATCTGCCCTCCCAAATCTCAGATTGCCAGTTTAACAGGGCATCCAGACCAATGCGTTCTGTGTGGAGTACCGCTGCTCTGCAGCGCCGGCTGAAACAGGCCGCGCCAGCCTTAACAGCTGTGCTGGCTTCCCGTGTCTCTCCTACATCTGGGAATTTCCCCGTCCTGTGGGCAACAAAGATCCGTCCGGAAATGTGGATTGAACTCACCCTCTGAGTCTTCACTGAGAGCTGCAATCCTGATTTGCTCCTACCATGCCATCTTGGCAGTCTGCGATGTCTATTCTTTTAATTTTTACATACCACAGTACCCAGTTCTCAGAATTCTCCTATTTTCTATTTATATTCATTCTCTTGATATTCTCCATATAATCCTCAGCCAGTTTGCAACATTTTGGGCCTTGGTTTTCCATCTGTCAGATGGAGGTAACTATACCAATTTTATGTAATTGTGTGAAATAATGAATTAATGCATATTTAGAAAAATGTTTAGTATAGATTCTGGTTCACTTACCATGAGTCATACATATGTTCTGCTGTTATTAATACTGATTGATCAGTCATCTAGGCTCAAGGCTTAAAACACCTTTTACAGATTGACGACTCCCAAATTTCTAGCTCTGACTCAGACCTCTCTCCAACTCCAGACTCAAATATGAAATTTCAGGATCAATATTTCCATTTGAGTGCCTAACGGGCATCTCACACATAATAAGTTTATAATTGAGCTCTTTCATTTCCCTGCTAAACCTGTTCCTCTCTTAGTCTTTCTTAGTTAATTACAACTGCACCCGAAAACTTGGAGTCATTTTTTTTCTCTTTCTTGTAAATGCTACAGCCAATCCATCAGTAAATCCAACCAGATTTACCTTCAGAATATATTTAGACTCTCACCCATTCTTATCACTACCCTGGTCCAAAACACTACCCTGGTCCAAAACACTACCATCTATCACTTGGATTATTCTACTAGTTTCTCATTAGCAGAGATAAGAGAGAGCCTGAGTTTTGCATACCATTTTATTTCATTTTTATTTTACCTAATTATATTTTGCAAAAATATTAATCTATGATAAATTGGAGAAAAATTAAAAAATTGAGTCCTTCACCATAGACCTGTTAGAAAGCACTGTTACCACATACAATAAAAAGTGGTAGATAATTCATATGGGAATAAAATTAAGTTTGAATGAGAATAAAGAATATGAGCATCAGAAGGAGGAACGATAATTGTATTTATTTTTCCCTTCAATATCTTGTTTTAAAAATTATTTTAAATACAAAAAAGCTGAAAGTAGACTTCATACCCAGATGCCTTCAACTTTTAACAATTGTTAAGATTTTGCTTACTTGTCTTATAGTTCTCTATAACTAAACCTATGCATCATTTTTCTGTAAATATAAAAATAAGATATCTTAACACATAAAACACTTGCCATGCATTTCTAAAAAATGAGGGCAATCTTTTTTCAAAGGTACAGTGCCATCATCACACCTTATCAAATGTCAATAATTATGTAATACCATCTTTTATTAACTGTCCTGGCCACTTCTAAAACTCAATGCTACGGAAAAAAAATGATATGTTATTCTCAAAATCTTGGATCTAAAGGTGATCTTAATTTGGAGGCAACCTTTCTTTAACAGTATGGAATTTCATTTTAAATTTACTTTTTACATTTGTAAAAAAAATTTTAGTGTAATCAAAATAAATTGTTCAATTGCAATGATAATTATTTAGAAATGATTTTTCAAAGGCATACAGTCTGTTAAATTCCTATATTTTAAAACCTAAACATTACTGTAAGATTCTTCCATTCAAAAAATTTTCTTCATACCTTTCCACTGGTAATATAATATAATTCTTTAGTTCATTCATGAAAACCCACATGAATATGAAAACTCATTTCAGATTATGTAGAAAAGGTTTTCAGATGGAGAGATGGTACAATTTCACTCCCTAATGTTCTTAAACCATTTCTTCAAATTCTATCCTAAAATGATTGTAAATATAGCATATAAAGGCAAATAGTCAATAATTTATCATTTTAAAACTAGATGACTAATTCAGAATATTAGTTCATCTTTCTGATTTTGGTCAGTTTATATTGAAAATGTGTGAAACTTTTTCAGAAAGTCAATTTCATTCTGTAGTTGGCATTACTGTATACATTTTTTTTATTTTACTGAAGATGACATATGCTTTTAAAAAATCTGTTAATGTGGACACGGTGGGTTTTTTTCCCCTCTCATAGAAAAATCCATGGAGTATCTAAAATCTTTTTCCCTGTCATATATCTACAGATCTCCTGTCTTCTCAACTACAGATCGAGTTGAACAGAACACAGATAATAATAGAGAAGTACATTTTTTCCAGATTAAACTAGGGTAAGTACAGAAAAGCATATGTCTGTATATAATTATCATATAGAACTTCTTTATATTTATTTGAAACACGTATATGCCAAAATCATCCTGCAGATGTTCAAGAAACTTGTTTACTAATTTGGTAATTCGCTTGTATTTTAAAAAAGAATATAATCTTAAGTTTTTAGATTGCTTAACATTTAGAATTTATTTTCATTTCTGACTGATTTCTGAATGAGGAACTCTTAATTTGAAAGATTGTTGGCAGAACTGGCTCGAGTACATCAGCTCATGCACAATATGTTGTTACTTCTCTGGAACTGTACATATTGTTTTTCTTCCCCTTGTGGATGTTTATTTGAAGGATGAATAGGTCACTCTTAGCAGGAGAGCTAGTTATGTGACTGCCAGATACTGAAGACAGATGAGTCAGTTCCACACAGACTACAAATTATGCATGCTGGATACATCTATATTCATATTTGCATTTGACCTAAGCCTCAACTTTAAAAATAGATTTAACAGAAATTATACAGATATTCAAAAATTGTTTTGCTAGGAAGCAAACAAGTTATGCAATACAATTTAAAAAAAGAATGTTCCCTCTGGTAGGAAGAGATCACATTAGTGATGAAACACTATATGTCAGACTGAGCTTAAGCCCAAATTCAAGAACATATTGTATACAAAACTTCTAAAATCTAGTTATCTGATGTGTGACTGATAGCTTTTGATGCAACTTGGAGACCTTAGGACGGACTGACTCTTCATCATTTGTCATCATAGAGTAGTCTTTGAATAAAAAGTTGTTTACCTTTCACGGTCAGGGGAAAATAGGCCTGGTGGCTAGGTGCTAGTTGGAGTGTAAGAACGTGGGGTAAGAAGGCAAGAAGCTGGCTTCAAATCCTAGTTTGGCCACTCAGTTGATTACATATATGTAAGAATTAGAACTGCCTTAGTTTACTCATCTGTAAAATGTGACATGACTAATTATAATACCTCCTCCACAGGACAAAGCTAAGGTGTGACTCACCTGACAATCTTTTAAAGGACTTAGCATACTGGTACATACTTACTTAAGCCACAATACCTGTAATTTCTTTTCTTTTTTTTCTTTTACATGCATACCTAAGCTGTAATACCTGTATTTTGTTCTCCCTCTTTCCTTTTTTTTCTTTTTCTTTTATCTTTTTTTTTTTTTTTTTTTTTTTTTTGAGGCAGGTTCTCACTCTATTATCCAGGCTGGAGTGCAGTGGTGCCATCTCAACTCAAAGCAGTCTTAACCTCAAGTCAAGTGATTCTCCCACTTCAGTCTACTGATTAGCTGGGACTACAGGCACGTACCAGCACACTTGGCAAATTTTTGCATTTTTTTGTGGAGACTGGGTTTCACTGTGATGTTCAGGCTGGTCTCTAACTCCTCAGATCAAGTGATCCACCAGTCTTGACCTCCAAAATTACTGGGATTACATATGCATGAACCACTGCACTTGCCCTGATTTTCTTTTTCTTTCTTTGTTTATTTTTGAGATGGGAGTCTTGCTCTGTCACGCAGGCTGGAGTGCAGTGGTGCAATCTCAGCTCACTGAAACCTCCAACTCCTGGGTTCAAGCAATTGTCTTGCCTCAGCCTCCCAAGTAGTTGGGATTACAGGCACCTGCCACCATGCCCAGCTAATTTTTGTATTTTCGTGGAAAGGAAGTTTCAGCATGTTGACCCAGCTACTCTCTAACTCCTGAACCCAAGTGATCCGACCCTCAGCCTCCCAAAGTGCTGGGGTTACAGGTGTGAGCCACTGTGCCTGGCCTGATTTTCTTTTTAATTAGGTTATTGTATAACCAGTCTATAGTGCATACAGACTGTGATTTTTGTAAAATTTTCTATGCATTCTAAGACCTCAGGAACACTTGTCCTGCCGCTTTCCCTAACATTCAAGAATCTGAAAAATAAGCCTCCTTTTAACAAAGATCTGCAACTAATTTTTTAAAAAGAAATCTGTGAAGAACAAGGATATGATTCTGCAAGCGTACCGAACGAACGCACGTTTGCAGCCGGCTCCCTCGCTGTCTGAATCACCGACCTCTCTCCCAGCTGTATTTCCAAAATGTCTCTTTCTAACAAGCTGACGCTGGACAAGCTGGACATGAAAGGGAAGCGGGTTGTTATGAGAGTCGACTTCAATGTTCCTATGAAAAACAACCAGATAACAAACAACCAGAGGATTAAGGCTGCTGTCCCAAGCATCAAATTCTGCTTAGATAATGGAGCCAAGTCAGTAGTCCTTATGAGTCATCTAGGCCGGCCTGATGGTGTCCCTATGCCTGACAAGTACTCCTTAGAACCAGTTGCTGTGGAACTCAAATCTCTGTTGGGCAAGGATGTTCTGCTCTTGAAGGACTGTGTAGGCCCAGAAGTGGAGAAAGCCTGTGCCAACCCAGCTGCTGGGTCTATCATCCTGCTGGAGAACCTCCGCTTTTATGTGGAGGAAGAAGGGAAGGGAAAAGATGCTTCTGGGAACAAGGTTAAAGCTGAGCCAGCCAAAATAGAAGCTTTCTGAGCTTCACTTTCCAAGCTAGGGGATGTCTATGTTAACGATGCTTTTGGCACTGCTCATAGAGCCCACAGCTCCATGGTAGGAGTCAATCTGCCACAGAAGGCTGGTGGTTTTTTGATGAAGAAGGAGCTGAACTACTTTGCCAAGGCCTTGGAGAGCCCAGAGCGACCCTTCCTGGCCATCCTGGGCGGAGCTAAAGTTGCATACAAGATCCAGCTGATCAATAATATGCTGGACAAAGTCAATGAGATGATTATTGGTGGTGGAATGGCCTTTACCTTTCTTAAGGTGCTCAACAACATGGAGATCGGTACTTCTCTGTTTGATGAAGAGGGAGCCAAGATTGTCAAAGACCTAATGTCCAAAGCTGAGAAGAATGGTGTGAAGATTACCTTGCCTGTTGACTTTGTCACTGCTGACAAGTTTGATGAGAATGCCAAGACTGGCCAAGCCACTGTGGCTTATGGCATACCTGCTGGCTGGATGGGCTTGGACTATGGTCCTGAAAGCAGCAAGAAGTATGCTGAGGCTGTCACTCGGGCTAAGCAGATTGTGTGGAATGGTCCTGTGGGGGTATTTGAATGGGAAGCTTTTGCCCGGGGAACCAAAGCCCTCATGGATGAGGTGGTGAAAGCCACTTCTAGGGGCTGCATCACCATCATAGGTGGTGGAGACACTGCCACTTGCTGTGCCAGATGGAACACGGAGGATAAAGTCAGCCATGTGAGCACTGGGGGTGGTGCCAGGTTAGAGCTCCTGGAAGGTAAAGTCCTTCCTGGGGTGGATGCTCTCAGCAATATTTAGTACTTTCCTGCCTTTTAGTTCCTGTGCACAGCCCCCAAGTCAACTTAGCATTTTCTGCATCTCCACTTGGCATTAGCCAAAACCTTCCATGTCGATTCAGCTAGTGGCCAAGAGATGCAGTGACAGGAACCCTTAAACAGTTGCACAGCATCTCAGCTCATCTTTACTGCACCCTGGATATGCCTACATTCTTCAAGATCCCATTTGAATTTCTTAGTGACTAAACCATTGTGCATTCTAGAGTGCATATATTTATATTTTGCCTGTTAGTGAGCTGTGTTAGCTTAGTTTTGATGTAGCTTATTCTTACTAGCTTTGTTACTGTTTCACTACTCAGCATGGAAACAAGATGAAATTGCCTTTGTAGGCAGGGAGGTGAAATTGATGATACATTAAATAAACAATAAAAGTGTCCATTGAAACCGTGGGGGAAAAAAAAACAAGGATATAACGCTAAATATTGCATGATAGCTGAGTAGCAGCAAATTGATGGAGTATGAGGAACAAATTCTGATTTTTTTAAATCTTGCTCAAATTCCTTTTTAGGGAGTCTGGAGAGTCAGGCCTTACAAACCATAAATTCTCATCAGATGGATTTTATTCGATCCTATATATCATGACTTACTTTTCAATCTGACTCTGATGTAATTTTACAAGTCAAGAATAAAATATTTAACCCCAAAATATATTTCCTGTTCTTACCTTGAAATTGCCTTGTAAAGTCTCTTGAGGGAAAAATCCACACAGTATAGAAAATCCTGTTACTTTTTTGTTTTCCTTCCTTCTTTCTTTCTAGATCCAGAAGATAATCAACTAAAAGCCAGGCACTCTTTTAGGTCTGATAAGAAACAATGTACAACTTGCTCTCCCTCTGCTATCTGAGAGATTCCTCCGCACAATAAAACTTGGTCTCCACAATCTGTTATCTTAGCTTGAACTTTTCCTTTATCCAGGTCTTTAGATAAATGTAACCAATTGTCAACCAGAAAATATTTAAATTGTCCCACCTTTCTGAACAAAACCGATGTATTTCTTAAATACATTTGCTTGATATCTTATGCCTCCCTAAGTTATATAAAACCTAGTGGTACCCCGACCACCTTGGGCACATGTTCTCAGGACCTCCTGAGGGCTGTGTCATGGGCCATGGTCACTCATATTTGGCTCAGAATACATTTCTTAAAATATTTTACAGAGTTTCTTTTTTCTTTCTTTCTTTTTTTTTTTTTTTTTTTGAGACGGAGTTTCGCTCTCGTTACCCAGGCTGGGGTGCAATGGCGCGATCTCGGCTCACCGCAACCTCTGCCTCCTGGGTTCAGGCGATTCTCCTGCCTCAGCCTCCTGAGTAGCTGGGATTACAGGCAAGTGCCACCATGCCCAGCTCATTTTTTGTATTTTTAGTAGACATGGGGGTTCACAATGGTAACCAGGATGGTCTCGATCTCTTGACCTAGTGATCCACCCGCCTCGGCCTCCCAAAGTGCTGGGATTACAGGCGTGAGCCACCGCGCCCGGCCCAGAGTTTCATTCTTTCAGTCAACAAGTAGGAACTGAAAATGTATCACCTAGGTATTCACTTTTTTGAAAAACTAGTAGGCTTCATTATTTTCTTCTGAAATCTTTCATTTCAGAGGATAAGCAAATTTGAATTTTAAAAAGAAACAAAATTTCTATAGGAGCATTCTTAAATTTGAATAATTATAATTTTTATGAATTATTAATAAGCATTTTATAGGAATTTACATTTTAACCCTTACAGTAACCTTATGCATTAGGTGTTACAATTCTAATTTCACAAGTGAAAAAACTAATGTCCAATAGTTCAAGACCGTTTTTCAGGTTTTCACAAGTAGTAGGGGAAGGAATCAAAATTAGTATCAACTTAACAAACAATACTGCTTTGTGATAGAAAAAAATAAAGTTTAATCAAAATTGAGGGCTTGACTTTTTTCTGTGGTACACTACAGGCACCTCGGGGCAGGCACTGAGGCTGTTTATTAACTCAGTCTTTTCTATGAAGCTACTGAGTTATTGAGCATCACAGAATAACCACAGAACCTGTTTATATTTGTGTATCTTGCAGTAAAGATGTTGGTTAATATAGAGCATTTAGATATTAACTTCTGATCTATTCCCAGAGGTACAGAGGCTAGCGACCCTGAATAAATAGATCTTTCTATGTTAATTATCAGAAATGATATATGCCTTTGGAGTTTCAAAAAATCTATGACTAAGAAGATATACAGACTAGAACTTTGAGTTTCTGGTTCTGAACTCTGAGAACACTCACAGTTAATTGAGAGATGGTAGTAGCTACAGAGGAAGGGACCTTGTAGAGAACATTAAACTGGAAGAAAATAAATAGTTTTAGTCACAGTATCTTATTATATGATATTTCTTTCTGTTATCTGTTATAAATACGATCTAGGTCTACTATATTTCTTTCTGTTGTCTAAGTACTCTCCTTAAATACTACAGAGAAGATTCAGCTGGGCTACAGGAAGATATTTTTTAGAAAGACATTAATACATACTTAAGGTTTGCCAACATGGTGAAACCCCGACTCTCCAGGTTTAGCCAGGTGTAAACTCCAGAGTAAAGAAAGAGATTCAAAACATAATAGACATGAAGAAAAGAGGATGAGATCAAGGAGCAAAGGAAGGGATCATGAGAATGCTAAAGAAAAAGAAAAGCAGTTTGATTCTAAAGGAAAAGATCAGGAAAGGAGTAGAAGTAAAGAGAAATCTAAACAGTTAGAATCAAAGAGAATGAGCATGATCATAGTAAAAGTAAGGAAAAGGATAGACGTGCACAATCCAGGAGTAGAGAATGTGATATAACTAAAGGTAAACACAGTTATAATAACAGAACAAGAGAACGAAGCAGAAGTAGGGACAGAAGCAGAAGAGTGCGATCAAGAAGCCATGACAGAGATCGCAGCAGAAGTAAGGAGTACCATAGATACAGAGAACAGGAATACAGGAGAAGAGGACGGTCACGAAGCCGAGAGAGAAGAACAACACCAGGAAGATCAAGAAGTAAAGATAGGAGGAGAAGGAGGAGAGACTCACGGAGCTCAGAGAGGGAAGAAAGTCAAAGCAGAAACAAAGAAAAATACGGAAACCAAGAAAGTAAGAGTTCACACAGAAAAGAAAATTCTGAGAGTGAAAAAAGAATGTACTCTAGAAGTCGTGATCATAATAGCTCAAATAATAGCAGGGAAAAAAAGGCTGATAGAGATCAAAGTCCCTTCTCAAAAATAAAACAAAGCAGTTAGGACGTTGAATTAAAGTCCTCCACATTGAAAAATAAGGAGGATGAGAAGATCAGATCCTCAGTGGAAAATGAAAACCAAAAATCAAAGGGTCAAGAAAGTGACCATGTACATGAAAAAAATAAAAAATTTGATCATGAATCAAGCCCTGGAACAGATGAAGACAAAAGTGGATGAGTGAGTTTATATAAATTTATTTCCATTCTATTTTGAATTTTAAGTTTGAGAGACTTGCTAATGAATCTCCTTTATGTTGTTTTCCTTTTCATTGTTTTTGGGTTGTTTTATGTTTGTCCTTTTTTTTATGTGCACTTCATTGAGTTGATCTTTTGATAATCTGAAAATTAGCCAGGTGTGGACCTGGGCTCCTGTAATTCCAGCTACTCAGGAGGCTGAGGCAGGAGAATCACCTGAACTCAGGAGGCAGAGGTTGCAGTGAGCTCAGATGGCACCACTGCACTCCAGCCTGGGCGGCAGAGCAAGACTCCATCTCAAAAAAGGTGGGGAGCATTTAAGAATATTCCTTTCATTGCCATAAGTGGAAAATCTGAAGTTGACTTTCTAAAAAAATTACAAATTTCTTCAACTATACCCAAAGACAGATAGAATAAAATAAACCTGTGTAAGAATACCTTACCCACATTATAAAATAAAATATTACAAATGGTTGTGAAAACCATGGTATTAGTCATTCCACAGACCTAGTGCCTTCTTCCAAGGTAACCATTACATTGAACTTGATATTTATTATTTCTATGCATCTATTTTTACCTTACTGCAGATATTTGTTTTATTAAACAAGATCTAGAACTGTTTAGCCAGATTGCATAATTTTAAACTTCATAGGAATGACATTATACTCCTCATATTCTTCCACCTTTTTCACTCAGATTTGTTTTTGAGGTGTATCCATGTTGATACAGGTCACTCTAGTTCATTTACTTATCTGTTACATAACATTTGTGGATTGAAAATATATTTTTTCTTGAGTAAACATTTAGAATTTTTCAAATTTCTTGCTTTACAAACATTGCTGCTTTGAACATTTTCTAAATCTCAATATGCATAAGATCTACAGGCTACCAGGCTAGAATGGAGGGGGTATTACCATTCTCAAATGCACTAAAGATTTTCTAAATTTGTCTTTCTACCTGACCGTAGCAATTAACATTCTCATGGTATAACACAGCCTTTTTGGTACAATTAGATGTTGTTAATTTCATGTACACAAAAATTACCTCATGGTTACTGTAATTTGGGTTTTTCTGATTACGAGTGAAATTCCATTTATTTTTTGACTATTTGAGGTTTTACTTCTAAAATTATAACAATATTATTGGTTTATTTTGCCATTTATACACTGGTGAGTTTTCTTAATGATTTTGCAATATATTTTTACTATGTAGATGTTTGTTAATTCTTTTTAAGTTAGGTTTACTTGGTTATATTTTTCTAGGAAATAGCCCATTTCATTATATTTCTGATTAATTGTCCCAAGGTAGTTAATAGTACTTACTTTTTAATTTTTTTTTACTATATTTAGAGGTTTTCTCTTAATTTTTATTTTTAATAGTTTCTGTCATTTATACACTCTCTCTTCTTTTCTTGATCTATCTCACCAGAGTTTTATCAACTTTGTGTGCCTTACCAATGATTGAAAGGCTGGATTTTTCACCTTTTTTATATCTTTCTTTGTCTTTGTTCAATTTCTGCTCTCTACAATACCTGTTGTAATAATTTTGTAGTTTATTCTATAACCTCATTTTTTCAAACTTTTAAATTGAGCTATTTACTTCATTTTTATTTCTTCTTAACTTTTAATATTTAATTCCATAAATATTCACCATTTATTTCAACTGGATTCTACTGGTTCACTCTGCATCATTTTCATTAATGTTTATTTCTAAGTATTTTCTTATTTCCATGATAATTGTTCATTTGATTGAAACTTAAGAGCATATCTTTGCACTGTCATTATCATTTTTATTTACTTCTACCTCAATTATACTGTTGTCAGACAAAGTGCTTTTATGACAATTATTCTTTGAAGTCTGAAACTTGTCTTATGTGCAACTATGTGGCATATTGTCTTTAAAATTCCATGTGTTCCTAAGAAGAGTGTGGATTTCTAAATTAGATCTAGGACCCTATG